ATTTCCCTTGTACTGCATAAATAGCACTTATATGGGCAATAAGAGATCACAAGGTGAAAAATACAGATGCTTTTTTTTTTCTAGACATAAAAAGTTTTACTTTTTCTTGGTCTGCCTCCTACCTCCTGTACCACATCAATTTCTGGTAACATTATGCCGTATTTTAAAAAGATTTATATCTTGATTACTTAAGAAATTTAATAGGAGAAGAGTTCCCTCCAGTTCAGGAACAGCACATCTTCACAATTATCAGAACAAACAAGCCAAATGCACAATGTACTGTACCTTAAACAATCAAGCAAGATCTTGTTTCACAAGATCAACAAAAATGTATCATAAACTACATTTATTATTTTTTTATAATAAAATTTTCTGACAGCTTTGTTGCTTTTCAGAAAAGTTCTTCAAAGATACAGTACTTATTGGGGGAGTCTTGATGTCTTCCTCAAAGGCACCAGTCCAGCTCCTGTTGATTACAATGGCTAGTGCAGCGTTTCTCATCCTTGGCAACTTTAAGATGAATGGGCTCCAACTCCCAGAATTCCCCAGCCAGCCCAAGGTTGAGGAAAATAGGTTTAGTGACTGAATAGTTATAATTATTTAGTTTATGTATTAGGCAGAGTTTTATTCTGCCCCATATTCTGTTTCTAGGGGGCTTATCATAGCACCAGTACAATAAAAACATCAATAATCAATGTAGTTCACAATGCAATGCAATGCAAGTGCAAAACAGCACCAAAGAAATGTCAACAAAGAAAAGAAATTTGCAATTCAAACTAGACACCAATACACTCTTCTATATAGTACCACATTCTGGGTAAACATAAATCCACCTTGCCATGGGTAGAGAACAAAAAAATAAGATGCAATTTATGACCCAAATGGATATTGCAGAAAGGAAATAGATCCATTGTTATCAAGGAAATGTGTCTTTCATTAATTCATATGGCAAGATTCTTCCCCAACTTAGAATACTATAGTACAGGTAGTCCTCAACTTATAACAGTTCGTTTAGTGACTGTTCGAAGTTACAACGGCATTGAAAGAAGTGACTTATGACCGTGTTTTTTTTTTCATACGTATGTCCGTTGCAGCATCTGTATGGTCAAAATTTAGACGCTTGGCAACTGACTCATATTTATGATGATTGCAATGTCCCGGAGTCATGTGATCACCTTTTGTGACCTTCTGACAAATTAAGTCAAAGGGGAAGCCAGCTTCAGTTAACAACTGGGTTGCTATGCAGTGATTCACTTAACAACTGTGGCAAGAAAGGTCATAAAGTGGGGCAAAACTCACTTAAATGTTTCACTTAGCAACATAAATTTTGGGCCCAATTATGGTCGTAAGTTTGAGGACTACCTGACTTGCATGGCTGGCTCAAGAAGTCTGGAAGGTGAAGTCCACAAGTCATAAAAGGGCCATGGTTCACCTCACTTCAGCAGCACGAGGTATCAGCTGAGGCAAGGTAGAAATAATTTTCGAAGCACAACTAAGATATGGCTAAATACTGAGAAAGATGATTGTTTGTTTATTAATTTAAATTTTCACTACCCTTCTCACCTAGGTGAGTGTGCATGCTAAACCCACCTGCCTAAGCATTCATGGAGCCCTAACCACTAGGCCAGATTATAGAAGGGGCGTATCCAGTGGTGGGATTCAGCCAGTTCACACCACTTCAGCAGAACCAGTAGCTAATTTTTTGTTGCCTAGGCCCAGAATGGACTTCCGGAAGCAGCATCCATACAGAGAACCAATTATTCACATATTTGAATCCCACCACTGGGCATATCTAACCCTGATATCTCAGTGCCTTAAACAAAGGACAGAAAACCCAATTTCTACTCCTGCTGGCTTCTGTCTGCTGGAAGCAGGAGACGTTGGTGTCCTTTTCCTCCAGCGAAAGGACGATGATCTGATTTACAGTCACTGTTGTTTGCAAATAGTAGATCATTTTTTTCCCAAGCTGTTTACATTCCTAGCTGGACCACATTTCCCCTGAACCGGCCAGCTAATCTAAACTGAAATATTCTCTTGTAAGTTTGCTTGGGGACACAGACAACCTGGCCACCTGTTGCTGTAAACCTGGTGTTGCTTCATCGTATTTTCCACTTCTCTCCATGCTATCTCCTTACATTCCTGTAACTAAGTCTGAGCAATCGGTCACCTCCTGATCTCCCCCCTCTACTGCCCAGCCATCGTACTTTGTGTTGTAGGAACTTGTACAGTCACATGAAGGACACATCGTATTGCTAGTGTTCCCGCCAACATAAACAGGTCTGTGGATTTACAGAAAGTATGCCGTGTATGTGAATCTCTCTCCGTTAACTCCTGCTGAGGGGATGTACTTTTCATTTGGAGGCACCATTCATCTCATATATAATTTGACCAACACTGGAAGTTTTTAAGAAGAGACTGGACAGCGATTTGTCCGAAATGGTGTAGGGTTTCTTGCCTGAGCAGGGGGTTGGACTAGATGACCTCCAAGGTCCCTTCCAACTTTACTACTATTACTATTGCCTAAAAAAATTGTAATTTAGAGTTTTAAACAAGAAGATTAAAAACTGACACAAAGCAATAAAAAGTAGGGAAGGGGGAAAAAAGAAAAAAAGAAAGAAAAAGCAAAAAGTGCGAGAAAAAGAAAAAACGTTGAAGAAAACAAAGATGTATAAAAAGTAAGGCAAAGGTAAAGATTTCTCTGTCCAGTCATGGGGTGCAGTGCTCATCTCATTTTCTTGGCTGAGGGAGCCAGCACTGTCCAAAGATGTTTTCTGTGGTCGTGTGGCCAGCATGGATACATGCCAAATGAATACGGAACGCTGTTAACTTCCCACCAAAGTGGTACCTATTTATCTACTTGCATTTGCATGCTTTTGAACTGCTAGGTGGGGCAAGGAATGGGAGCTCATCCCGTTGCATGGTGTTCAAATCTCGAACCTGGACTGTCAGCTTTCCAACTAACAAGCCTGGCATCTGGGAGACTGGAGGCTAAAACATATGAGGAACGGTTGCTGGAATTGGGTATGTCTAGTCTAATGAAGAGAAGGATGAGGGGAGACATGATAGCAGTGTTCCAGTATCTCAGGGGCTGCCACAAAGAAGAGGGAGTCAAGCTATTCTCCGAAGCACCTGAAGGCAGGACAAGAAGCAACGGATGGAAACTAATCAAGGAGAGAAGCAACCTAGAACTAAGGAGAAACTTCCTGACAGTTAGAACAATTAACCAGTGGAACAACCTGCCTCCAGAAGGTGTGAATGCTCCAACACTGGAAGTTTTTAAGAAGAGACTGGACAACCATTTGTCCGAAATGGTATAGGGTTTCCTGCCTGCCTGAGCAGGGGGTTGGACTTGATGACCTCCAAGGTCCCTTCCAACTTTATTATTATTAGTATTAGTATTATTAGTATTACTATTATTATTATTAATAATAATGTTAGAAGCAACCTAGAATCAAGGAGAAATTTCCTGGCAGTGAGAACAATTAATCAGTGGAACGACTTGCCTCCAGAAGTTGTGGATGCTCCATCACTGGAGGCTTTCAAAAAGAGACTGACAAATAGGGTCTCCTGCCTGAGCAGGAGTTGGACTAGAAGACCTCTTAGGTCCCTTCCAATTCTGTTATTCTGTTATGTTTCCTGTCTGGTTTACCTGGGAGGACTGACTAGGAAAGTCTAGAGCAGTGGTGGCGAACCTATAGCACGGGTGCCAGAGGCGGCACTCGGAGCCCTCTCTGTGGGCACACGTGCCATTGCCCCAGCCTCACCTCCCCCCATGACCACCTCCTCTCCAGCAGCCCCCCTGAAGGAGAGTTGCCCCTGAGTGTGGCCCATGCGGCTCAGAGCAGCCAAGGACATGGCAGCCAGGCAGCGTAGACAAGACTCTGCACTCACACCCCATTGTGCATAGTTGATGCTGCAGGGCGCGGGCAGAGGGCATGACCACCATAGCACTGCTGGGCTGCCTGGGAGATCTGTGGCGGGCCGTGGAGGCAGTGAGTGGCCATGCGGGCAGGTGGGGTGGGGGATGGTGGACGGAGCGGGGTAGGGCAGGGGGTGGAGTGGGGGCTGGGCCAGTTTTTGGGCACTCAGTCTCTAAAAGGTTCATCATCACTGGTCTAGAGGCCTTCTCAGAAAATAAGAATGGTGGGAGTTTGCAACTTGGTCCTTTATTAATAATTGTGCCATCTGTCAAAAGATAAGATAAATATAAGGTATAGAAGGGCTTAGATTTTGAATATCCTTGTGGGAATTTGATGGAAAAGATTCTTTTACTTGACATCTTCTGAAGAATGAATGGGAGGACGATCCACTTTAAAACTGCTGTTCAGCTAGAACTACTTAGAGTGAAAAATATATTGTTCCCATCAAGCTTGCTGTGAAAAGAAAAAAAGGCAAGCAAGAGAAAAGAGAGGGACAAACACATCTATACGTCTCTGGCACTCCTTTATTTCAGAACTGTACTGGATCCGTTTAATCCAAAAAAATTTTTTAAAAAAACCATTCAGGTCATATGCACATAACATACAAGGCAAATCCTTCTGCATAAAAACATGGTTGTTCCTGAACTTAGGGAACAAAGGGTCCTATTAAAGAATAAAGTGAAAAACTTTAGCAAAGTGTAGGCTATATTTGGCAAACATTATACTGCAATGTAGCAAGAGCTTAGTCCAGGATTCAGGAATCTGTGTGAACCCAGGATATTGGGTTCATGGAGACAACCCAGGGTTAATCTCTCTGGATAAGCACCCCAAACACTGCTTTAATCCAGTGGTTCTCAACCTGTGGGTCGGGACCCCATTTGGGGTCAAACGACCATTTCACGGGGGTCGCCAAACAACGCAGTCCGCCATTTTTTCCCCCTTAGCTGTACTACTCCCTTTTATTCTATTGGCTTTTGAAAGCCAATAGAATAGACTCTCTTGAATAGAGTCTAATTTTATTGGCTTTCAAAAGCCAATAGGAATTGTCCAGGCTGTCTCTGCCCTGCTGAGCCCGCCAAAAGTCCCATTCTGCAAACGATGCTGTACCAGTTGAGTAGTCCTTGACTTACAACCGGTTGAGTAGTCCTCGACTTACGACCGGTTGGGGGTCGCGGCTTTAAAAAGGTTGAGAACCACTGCTTTAATCAAACCCTGTATCTGCTGCTTGAGGCAAAGAGCTCATTTTACCTCATGTTATAGTGGACCTTCCCAAACTGATTCCTGAATCCATTTTGTTGGCTTGGGAAAGGTTGACTAGCATCTTCCCTGCAATTAGGAAAAAGTTTTCTTTTCATTCCCTTCTTCCAAGAGGTTGGCGTAAGGCACACACTGAAGTGTGAGGCATCCGTGATCAAACAGTCTATGTGGTAGTTTCCCCTTTGAACACCAGGTATCTGTCTGAGGGTCATAGCAATCGAGGGAATCGGAGTCCACAATGGCATTATCCACCGTAAGACAACGGCCACCCGTCAAGTATAGCTTCTTGTTGATGGCTGCTACTCCATGGTGCATCCGTCTTTCCTTCATGTCTGCACACTTCACAAATTTATTGTCTTTAGTATCATACGCAATTACTCTTCGGGTGTACCCTGGAGGAAAACCAAAAAGAAAAAAGAAAGAAAAAAAGCAAATTTGTGAAATTCATAAGTCACAGGATCAACAAGAACGTCTCTGGAATGGAAGGGAAGTGTAATAGAATCCAGATAGTCTTCAACTTACAACTAAAACTGAGCTCCAAATTTCTGTTGCTGTGAGACAGTTGTGAATTTTGCCCCATTTTACAACCTGTCTTGTCACAGTGGTGAAGTGAATCACTGCAGTTGTTAATTAGTAACATGGTTGTTAAGGGAATCTGGCTTCCCCATTGGCTTTGTTTGTCAGAAGGTCGCAAAAGGGGATCACATGATCCCAGGTCACTGCAACCATCATGTCAAACCTTCAAACACTCTGAATACAGCCATGTTTCTTCGTTTTTCGGTTGCCACAGCAGTGGGAGGAAGAAGATGCATTCTTATAGTTTAGTCAAAACAATAACTTTTTTGTGGGAACCAAGGTCAAGCAGCCTAAATGTTTGGCGGACTGGAGCTACCATTAGGAAGCCCGCCAAAGGTGGTAATTGGGGATTGTGATTTATGACACACTAAAGGGTGGGGAGTTCAACTTTTATTTTGTAACCTTGGGGGGGGAGGGGAAACTTTCAGACTTGGTTTCACCTTTGTTCGTGCTGATATTATGTAGCCATTAAAATTGTTCTTTGAGGAAAGCAATTGCCTCAGAATTCTTATTTCTACTATCGGAACCATGACACATTATAAATATGAACCAATTGCCAAGCGTCTGAATTTTGATCATGTGACTCTGGGGATGCTGCAATGGTCAAAAGTGTGAAAAACGATCATAAGTCACTTTTTTCAATGCCGTTGTAACTTTGAAGGGTCACTAAACAAATGGTTGTAAGTTGGGGATTACCTATGGGAATTGGCGGTGGTTAGCAGCAACATAAACCTTGACAAAGCAAGTTGCTCCACAGGGATTCTTTTTTATCTGGGTTCTTGTGTTGAGCAGAGGATCAATGCAGTGGTATCCACAGAGTTTGTGTGTCACCATCAAGCAAGATGGAGGGAGGAGTTCTGCAATGGGAACTCCACCTGGTGAGACTTACATCATGATGCACCACCTGCCATATTGCTTTGACACTCCCCCACCTTAAACGTGCACCTCACTGACTCAGTGGCCTAAAAATGATTCCTTACAAATAATATTACTGTGCTCTCTATTTTTGTGATTTATTCTTTCTATTACAACCATATTATTATGCTCTTCCCTTGCATGGCTTGGACTCAAAATAGGCAGACCTGTTACACCATTATGACATTATGCTTTCATTGTCAGAGAAGATGTAACAAAGACAGTGCTTAGATACAATGCAGTAGATGGCTCAATAATATCAATTAGAATTTGTGAGAAACTCTTTAATATGAGGGTGATCCACGTTTCTGCTCATTCCACTAATGCAGAAGATCAATTTAATGTCCAAGCTGAAATTGATTGAATTTGCAAATGAGATGCCTCGGGGGGTTGTAAACTTAAATGACAAAGCTGAAAATAGTAAAAAAGGAAAATGTAATTGGATTGCACAGTCTAGGAAAAAGAAATGAAGCAAGTTATAACGTAGAACATCATCAGAGTTGTAAGGAAGCTTGGAGGACTTCTGGTCCAATCCTTGCTCAAGCAAGAGGAGACCTTATACTATTTCAGACAAATCGTTGTCCAATCGCTTCTTAAAAACCACAGTGATGGAGGCAAGTCATTCCACTGATCAGTTGTTCTAACTGCCAGGAAATTTCTTTTTATTTCTAGGTTGCTTCTCTCCTTGCTTAGAAGATGGTTGCAATCTCAAATTGGTGTGCTAAACGATTGTCCAATCTCTTCTTAAAAACCACCGGTGATGGAGCATCCACAATTTCTGGAGGCAAGCCGTTCCACAGGTTGATTGTTCTCAGTGTCAGACAATTTCTCCTTAGTTCTAGGTTGGTTCTCTCCTTGATTGGTTTCCATCCATTGCTTCTTGTCCTGCCTTCAGGTGCTTTGGAGAACAGGCTGACCTCCTCTTCTGTATGGCAACCCCTCAAATATTGGAACACTGCTATCATGTCACCCCTGGTCCTTCTTTTCGTTAGACTAGAAAGGACATCAGTTCCTTCCTATCCAATATTTCCTTCATTGCTAACACAGTCCTCAAAGAACCAAAATGACATGACTGTCGCTAAATGGAGTACACATACAGGTTGTCCTTGACTTGTAACCAGCTGTTTCATGATCATTCAAACTTACGAAGGACTAAAAAAAAAGTTACTTACATCTTCAAGGTTTCAACTGTTGCACCACTCCCGTGGTCCCGCGACTACCTTTCAGACACTTGGCAACCAGCTCACTTTTTTCAATTTTATTGCAGAATCCTGTGGTCACGTGACTGCATTTTGCAATGACTTTTGCCATTTCCCAAGAAAAAATGCCCATCGGTGAGTTGACTTCAGACTTACAGCTACGTGGTTTGCTTAACAACCATGGTGACTTGCTTAATGATTATTGTAAAAATGAGTTCCCAACTTACGACTGCAATGACTTATGAGCAAATTCTGGGCTCAATTGTGGTTGTTAAGTTGAAGACTACTTGTAAATGAAATTGACAGTATTATTGGTATAAACAGATGGAAGAGATCAGTTATAATAGCAAAGTCACAACCAGGTGTGATTGTGAAACCGATCAGGTGCAAATTCCACATCAGTCCAAAGTGGAAGAACAAACCCAACAGTAACTCCATGAGTAATCTTGAGCTTATAGGCACCATTTTAAAGGAAAACAATGTTCTGAACTCCTGAACCATACCGATAGGGAACCAGAAGTACCGTGGAATGAACTCAAAGAAATTGTTAAGGATTAGTGTGAAAAGTAACTATCTAAGATCAAGAAATAGAATAAAGCAAACTGGATTTCAGAACAGACCTCAGAAGTTGCCAAGAAAAGAGAAGCTGAAGCCAAGAAAAACAAAAATCTTAGGAAAGAATTTAACAAAGAATTTCAGAAGAGGCAAGAAACAACGTTACAATGATCTCTATAAAAACATCAAAGATGGAAACAGACACAGAAAATCAAAGACAGTCTTCCAAAAATCTCCAAACTCAGAACAGAATAACACTTGGAAGTTGGAAGGGACCATGGAGGTCTTCTAGTCCAACCCTCTGCTCAAGCAGGGAACTCTATACCAGAGGACCCCAAACTTTTGGGCACCAGGGACTGGTTCCATAGAGAAAGGTTTTTGCATGGACTGGAGGGTATGTGGTTTTGTGTGCTGCCTGCATCCCACGGATGAGGCTTTGCTTGTTTCTGTGGACAGGTTGCTGGCATGCTGCGGCATGGTACCAGTCTATGAACTGGGGGTTGGGTCTCCAACCTATACCATGTCCTATACCATTTCAGACAAATAGTTGTCCAATCTCTTCTTTAAAATATCCAGTGTTGGAGCATCCACAATTTCAGGACGCAAGTCATTCCACTGATTAATTGTTCTAACTGTCAGGAAATTTCTTTTTATTTCTAGGTTGTTTCTCTCCTTGATTAGAAGATGGTTGCAACCTCAGATTGTATGCTAAAGGATGTCAGTGGACAGATAATAATTGATTCAAAGAAGATGAAACAAATATAAAAGAAATATACTGAAATTCTGCATAGTAGAGATGTCAACATCCAAGATACCCTAGGAGATACAAGAATTTCTAGTATAGAAGATAATGTTAGAGGAACATTTCTGTTGTTACCAGATTGGAAAGCTACAGAAATTGATGAAATATGGCAGTCAAGAATAGAATAGAATAGAATAGAAATAAGGAATAGAATAGAATAGAATAGAATAGAATAGAATAGAATAGAATAGAATAGAATAGAATAGAATAGAATAGAATGGAGTGGAGTGGAGTGGAGTGGAGTGGAGTGGAGTGGAGTGGAGTGGAGTGGAGTGGAGTGGAGTGGAGTGGAGTAGAGTAGAATAGAACAGAAATAAAGAATAGAACAGAACAGAATAGAACTGGAAGGGACCTTGGAGGTCTTCTAGTCCAGCCCACTGCTCAAGCAGGAGAACTTATACTGTCTCAGACAGGTGAAGAGAGGAGCTAGGAGCCTCTTTCCACTTTTGTCAAAGAGATTTTTCTCCTTTAGAATCAAATTTCTTTTGTAGTCTTTTCAACAGCTCATTTTATCAACATGTTTTCTTTTTCTAAAGTTGATTATAATATAATCACCTTAATATTTGGTAAAAAAGAAAAGAAGAATGATTGAAGAATGATAATGTGTCTTCATTGTGTCCTCCAAAAAATATCCTATTGAATTTAATCTAAAGCTGGTAAACAGATCTGCAAAACTATTTCTCTAAACTAGAGCCATGGTGGCACAGTGGATAGAGTGCAGTACTACAGACTTACTCACTGCTAACTCCAGCAGGACTCAGATTGTTGGGGGCAATATGTTGACTCTGTAAACCACTTGGAGAGGGCTGTAAAATCACTATGAAGCAGTATATAAGTCTAAGTGCTATTGCTATGCTACTAACTATAATGCTTTATCATGTAATGGATCAGCTCAAAACTAATACAGAATCAGATATCATTGCAGTAAATAATAAGAACTCTATTTAATTCAAGCCAAGTGCCACATTGCTGTGGTTAATAAACTCTGTCTTGTTTTGATCTGATTTATTCAAGGGAAACTTGACATATATTAGATGCTTTTTGAAAAATACCAAAAATCTGTTTGTTATTATTGAGATTTTTTTCCCCAGTTCCAATTGCTCGATAAGCCAGGAACAACTAGATAATGTTATGACATACTTACTTGGTAACTGAAAATTTATCGGTAGTAAATCTCTTTGCTTTAAAGGAAAATGAATTATGTTTGAAATTAGTTGAAATGTTTGTGCTTTTTCTTAAATAAACCAAAATGCTTATGGCTTAAGCTTGTCAGCTGAATCATTGGCACAAAGTTTCAGAATAAATAGAGGGCAAGGTCTAGTTTTTTACAAGCCTTGTACATCTCTACTATGTTCACATTTTGGTCTCTTGTATAGAAGTGTTGAAGGAAAAGTCTTCATCATGGTTCAATCTAAGCCGGGGATAAACAACATGGCGACTGCTTTAGAAAGACGTTTGCAGTTTATTGAAGAGGAGAGCCAGACAGAAAGATGGTTCTGGAAGAAAAGAGGAGTGAGCACATGTAGGGAGTGGATTTTTATACCCTCTGGAGTTTTTTTGGGAGTTGTTTCCTATTCCTGTTTGAGGCTTTGTATTTCCTGTGTCATGTATTCTGACCTGAGTCTGGGTGTGCTCTTTGGCATCTGTGGGTTAATCCTATTGTGTCCTGTCTTAGAGTTTGGGTGGGATATGTAGATTTTAGGAATCTTTGTCTTCCTAAGCTTCTAGCTAGGGGCCTCCAACCTTCCTGCATGATTTACATCTGCATTTTCATAGAGCTGGATTCTGCTTGGGAGAGAGAGACTTGGGACTATTAAGAAAACTGGGCATGCTTTTCTGCCTCTTTAAAATCCTTTGAGAAAATATATTTTTCTGCCCTTTTAATATTTCCTTATTTGGGGGGCTGACTTCTCACAAACTAAATGAAAAGTTTTGGCATCAGAGATTCTTACTGTCATACCTATTATCATCAAAAGTGTTGCGTTGGCTTTATTAAACCCTCCCGGTATGGGATCAATATTTCAGAAGTAAAACATGGAGCAAAGCTTTGCAGCATATTTTCTCTAACAGGTTTCAACCACATTATTCCAAGGTTTCATCCAATATTATCTCTAACTATTCCACTCATTTCTCTGTATGTTTTGCTTCCTTTCTCACTTGTCATTCTGAATAAAAGTTGTGCAAAACTTGCTTGCATCAAGGATTGTGAATAATCTGTATTAAATGACGCACTATGAAATCGTAGGCAGAGAACAAAACATAAATTGAATTTAACATAAATTAGATTCAATACTACTACTGTGATAGATTCCACAAGATATATTCAGGCATGCCAGTTGTAGGGGGGGAAAAACCCTACACTACAACATCAAGCAGAAAGAAATCGCTATATTTTGGGACACCTGCATGACAGTGATTTTCAACGTAGGTTACCTCCAATGATAAAAATCCGGTCTCCAATCAAAACTGCTGGTGCACAGACGTTTTTCACCATCCTGGTCTCCATTCGGAACCACATATTCCTAGATACATGATACACCTGAGAAATACAAAGGGCCTTATTATTATTTATTCTTAGCGCATGGCGTTTTTACAATAGCTAAGAAACACAGTGCTATTGCAGGGTAGTAGTTCGCCTGTCAGGGTACCAGCCTTGTTGTAAGTGCGTCACAGGAGGACGAGCGGGCATCGCACCAGAGAGAAAGACCAGTGGCTCTTCCTGCAGCATCACCCAAGGCTCTCTCCCTTCCTGGAGCTGCCTTGCAAGCGGGCACCGCAACCAGGAAATCAGAGCCATCCGGAATCCGACTGCCTGCACAGAGCACCAGCTTGTCTCCCCACCAAAGTGGTACCTATTTTATCTACCTGCATAGAACATACTTTCGAACTGCAAAGTGGGCAAAAGACAAGGCAAGTGATGGGAACTCACTCTACTATGCAGAGTTAGGGCTCGAACCGCTCAAGGAGAGACCATCTCCAGGGTCATTAAGCCACTGAGCCACCACACCTCCGTACACAGGGCATGAAATGGATGGATTTGAGATGAAAGGACATCTCTAATATTAAATCCATTTTTTTAAAAAAAGTGAAAATACTGTACATTGCAAATGGAATAGAATAGAATAACAGAGCTGGAAGGGACCTTGGAGGTCTTCTAGTCCAACCCCCTGCTCAGGCAGGAAACCCTATACCAGGGGTCCCCAACCCCCAGTCCATGGATCAGTACTGGGCCGCGGCATGCCAGCAACTGGTCCGCACAAACAAGGAAAGCCCCATCCACAGGATGCAGGCAGCACACAAAACCACATACCCTCCTGTCCGCGGAAAAACCTCTTTCCACGTAACCGGTCCCTGGTGCCCAAAAGGTTGGGGACCCCTGCCCTATACCATTTCAGACAAATGGCTGTCCAATCTCGTCTTAAAAACTTCCAGCGTTGGAACATTCACAACTTCTGGAGGCATGTTGTTCCACTGGTTATTTATTGGGTTGAAATCATTTACCTATCGGGCAAATAGTTACCAAATTTTGGATCCAGTTCTGGAAATCCAAATAAATTAGTGGGTACAATCAAGTGAAGCAAGACCACACTTGACTGACTGCCCCAAAACCACCAGTCAGTTTCCATCCCCAAGTATGGACTTCAACAAGCATCTCCCCAGTTCTAGTTCAATTACTGAACTACTATCCTACAGGTAATCCTCAACTTACAACCTCAGTTGGAACCAGAATTTCCATTGCTAAGCAAGGTGGTTGTTAAATGGGTCGTGGCAGATCTTAAGACCTTTTTTGCCATAGTAGTTAAGTGAATCGCAGTCATTAAGCAAATCTGGCTTTCCCCATTTGTGTGTTGGTAGCCAGCAGAAAAGGTGGCAATGATATGATGCCAGGAAGCTGCAACTGCCAAGCATGGCAATTGCCATGTGCCTGAATTTTGATCAGGTGATCATAGGGATGCTGTGATGGTCATAAGTGCGAGGATTGGTTGCAAGTCACTTTTATCAATGCCATTGTAACTTTGGAAACTAAACGAATGGTTTAATTAAGTACCTATATACAGTACTGCTTTTAGCTTACAGGATGGAAACTACCACGGATGTGTACAGTCATTTAAATGCATAAGAAACTGAATGGCATTTGAATATTCAGCTCCATCCTCATTTGTGTCGGTGCCCATCTATTTGTGTGTCAACTAGATTCAAACACACACACAATTTAATACCATTCAGCAGTTGAGAAATGAAAAGAATGCTAGAGCTTGTTTTAGAGTCTTATTAGTGCATCATTAGCTGTTGCATAAACATAATGGGAAAGTCAACAGTTCACGTATCTTGTGAGCTATTTAACAGAAACCTGAATCATGATGGCCACCAAATGCTGATAAAACATTTGCAATGGACATCTGGAATTGCCTAACTTTCTGGAGGTTTTTTTTTTTTAATGACCACCCATGATTAAAATAACAGCTGGTATCGAAACAGTTTGTAAATTGCTTTTTTATGAAACCAAATATTTGAACTTTTTACTGTACATTATAAAACGGGAAGCTGCCTTTAAGATGATATCCTCGGTTCCTGTAATCACCAGCCAGCACAGCCACTGAATGACAGGAGTGAAAATAAAATGTACAAAAGCACAGAGCTGAGAAAACAGGGCTTCAGAAAATTCTAGGTTTAAAAATGGAAAATACTGGTGTAATTCACACAACGTAACCCTAAATCTGAGTTGGCAGAAACAATTTCCGTACCCGGATAACAAACTATGGGTAGTCCTGAATTTATGACCTTAATTGGGGCCAAAATTTATGTTGCTAAGTGAGACATTTGTTAAGTGAGTTTTGCCCCATTTTACGACTTTTCTTGCCACAGTTGTTAAGTGAATAATTGCAGTTGTTAAATGAATCTGGCTTCCCCATTGCCTTTGCTTGTCAGAAGTTTACAAAAGGTGATCACACTACTCTGGGACACAGCAACCATCATAAATTTGAACCAGTTCCCAAGCAATGGGGACACTATAGTGGCCATAAGTGTGAAAAACGTCATAAGTCACTCTTCATAGTGCTGTTGTAACTTTGAACAGTCACTAAATGAACTGTTATAAATCGAGGATTACCTGTATGTATGAGAAAATCACATGGGGCTATCTTTATTATGTTTGCAAGTCCAGAATCTTGGAAAGAAGGAATCAAACCAAGTTTAGCTAACCTGCCCCCCCTTTTTTTGTCAATCTGGTTGAAATTGTGGAGGTGATCTCCTGTGTTGGACTTTTAGCTTGTGTGAAGGTATTGATCTGCTGCAAACTTGAGCCCATGAAGCAGGCAGGAAGATATTGATTTGCTCATATTTTATTAACTTCTAACAGTTTGCAGCTAGAGAAGTTTGTAAATATAAAATAACAACTGACATGATGCTATGTTTGTGGACTTCAAAAGCAGGCCTAGATGACCCTCTAAGACTAAGTATAATGCAGCCAGGGACAATGAGGTAGGTCAGTCTAAACAGACAAGATGGCAGCCACAACCATGTGACTGAAGCCCCACCCCTATTTTACTGATCCCTGGAGGACCAGCCTCTTTTGGACTCTTATAGCCAATAAGAACAAGGGGTCGGGATTCCTATTTCACAGTTGCAGCCACCATCTTGATTTTTTTTTTAGTCCCCTCCGTAGATGCCCTTGGACACAACCATTCTAACTAGTCCTTCTTTTTGTTAAACTGGCATTGGAATGCTGAGACAAACCCACATTTGCAGTTGTTCCAAAAATTAGCCTTTGACCGGCCTCTGCACTAATCTGCATTACAATTATAGATTATTATTACTTTTTTGTCCATTCTGCAATATTTACGCCCCTCCAGATTGAATGTGGCAAGTAATGGTGGGGCCTCTTAGCAAAATGACATTGTGGCTGTTGCCTAAGCTCTTAACAGCAACATGATTGCAAGTATAAATAAAAAGGGCTTTTTATGTGGTTTGTCAGGAGATGGAAATTTCAGCTTAGCCAATGAGTTTGGTTATCCGCTGCCTGGCATCCAAATGTTTCTCAAAATAATGGAAAGGTTCTTCTATTTTCTGCTGAGAACATTTTCTTAGCAAAACATAAGAATAGCCCAGAGAGTTTGAACCAAAGGCAGACATGTCTGGAAGCATGCAATTGAGATAGCCCAAGTGAGATTATCAAGAAAGGACATTACCTGTATTAGCCTGACTGGGTTTTGCATCAGATCTTCCCCCCCAAACAGGTAGATTCTTTGGTCTTTGGCAGATACAGCAGGATGCAGAACTGCAGTAGGAATATTTGCCATGTCTTCCCAAATGTTGTAGATGCTATCATACCTTTCCATGGAATTTAAGATGTCCCGGTTCATGCCTATACCTCCGATGGCAAAGATATAGTTTTTGTAGGCCACACTTCTATGGGAATAGCGTGCTATTAACATGGGCTCTATCAGCCTCCATTGATTAAGTTTGAGTGAGAAAATGTAAACATTATTGCTGACTTGGTTCCTCCCATTTCCTATAGGAATTCCCCCCAGAAGATAGATATTACTGTGCAGACTCACTGCAGAGGCCTTATAGACACGGGTTGGATACTTAGCGAGGCTCAACCATTGATTTGTCTTCTCATCATATAGCAAAACATCCCTTGTAGTTTGTTGATTGTCTTTGCGACCACCGATTAAGAGGAGAAATTCCCGACATGAATAGCGCCGAGGAACATGCCAGATGGGTTTGACGTCAGGGGCACTGACACTATACAATGAAAACATCTGCTTATTTGCAAGTTCTAAGATATTTTGACAGTCGGGGGATGACTGAATGAGAGAGTCATTGGCTATGAAACGGAAGAAGAACGTTGGATGGACATACTGAAGCCTCACCTTTTTGAACAAGTCTTGAATATAGCCTTGTCGTGCTTGAAGATCATGCCTTACCCAGACCATAATAGCCTCGAAAACTTGTTCCTCCTCTCCATAAAGTTCATCATTCCCAAGATAGTCTATCAACTCTAACACGCAAAGTTCTTTCAAGTCTTCAGAAGTGGCTACTTCAGGGAAATACTTTAGCGCCATAGCTTTCGCTTTCTGATTAAGATCCTGACAGTGGAGGATTTCAGAAAGCCTGCTCAGACTGAGGCAATTTTCTGGAGAAAGCTGATCCTGGAGGTAAGCTGAACAGGCTTCGAAGAGTTTCATGTACTGAAGCATGGAAGCAGTCTCCATGAGGCTCAGAATGTTCTCGTGAGTCATGAGGACCTCTCCCGTGTAGACGTAAAGGATAATAGCATGCAGAATGCCAGAGTCCATTCCTTGGAGGTTGACTTTTTCCTGGACGCTCTCCTTAAAGTTGTTACAAAACATGGCCTTGAAATAGGGGCTGCTTGAGACAAGAACATTCTTATGACAAGGAATTTCAATGTCGTTTGTGCACAGAAGAACGTCAGTTAGGATTCTGTTTTGTCTCAAGTCGTTCAGTTGCTTTAGGAGATCAGATGAAAAATCTTGGTCTCTGAACAGCAGGCCTTGGAGAGATTTTTCTTCCATGATGTAAACAGCATCCAAAAGAGAATTCTTGGGATTACTGTATCAAAAGTTCTTCGGGGTGCAATGCAAAAGTCCCCTTGAAATAAAGTCCATCTATTACAGAATGGGGAAAACAGCTGCTTACACCAACAAAGAAGGTTTAAAAAGTATATATACTGTATATAGGTAGTCCTCGACTTAGAACAGTTCATTTAGTGATCGTTCAAAATCCCAGTGGCATTGAAACAAGTGATTTATGATAGTTTTTTTACATTTATGACCATTGCAGCATCCCCATGGTCACGTGATCAAAATTCACACCCTCGGCAACTGACTCATATTTATGGTGTTTGCAGCCTCCCGGTGTCATGTGATCACCTTTTGCAACCAGCAAATTCAATGGGGGAGAGCCAGATTCACTTAACAACCATGTTACTAACTTAATAACTGCAGTGATTTACTTAATAACTTAATAACTGAGGCAAGAAAGTTCATAAAATGGGGCAAAATATATCTCACAATTGCCTCGTTTAGCAACAAAAAAATTTGGGCTCAATTATGATCGTAAGTCGAAGGACTACCTGTATCACATTCCTCTTACAAAATAAATCTGATATTAAATATCAGTTCTCAGCTCCTAATAGCCCAATGAGTTAAAAATAGATTAATTTTTTTTAAGGACTAATGTTTCAACATGCTTGCAGTAATCAGTGATTCAAAACCAAAGCAAAAAAAATTGTTCATAAGGAAGAAACGCTTTAAAAATTCTGGGCTATTTAACATTCCTCCCCCCCTAAAAAAAACCCTTAGTCATTTCCAAAAAAATGTAACTTTGCAGAGCAACACAATTAAACTAAGTTCCTTGCATCTAAGAATGTATAGGGGACATCTTTTATTTTTATTTTATTTTACTGGGAATTGCTTTGCTTTCAGATCAGCCCCAAACAGGAGTCACGGGTTTGTTTTCTTTGCACGATTTCAAAGTCTGCTAAAACATTGTCCCCAATCTTATAATAAGCTAGACTATACATCCGCAATAAAATGCACCCAATGTTTAGCTTTTTTTTAAAAAAATGCATCAGTTTCAGTTCTAAAAGAACAACAGATCATAGAAAAGCCCTCTACTTTTTTAAAAGGAAGACAGCTGCTAGCCGACTTCAGCCCACTTCCACCCCATCACCCCATTCTTCAATGAAATGTACAAAATATAACCTGCATATATTGCAACTGAGAGGCTTAAAAACCAACAACCCCATAGCAAATTTCTCCAAGATCTAATGGCTTTTGTTTGTAGTAAAAATCGGGGCAGATCTGTTTACCTTAATCCTTTCCCAACCTTCAGTGTCTCTGGCTTGTTTATTCTCTGCTGAAACTTTCCATGCCTATAACATGCCTCGGAAGATTAATGTTTGAAAAGCAGAGGGAGAAGAAGCCATGAAACCTCCCTATATTATTCTCTCGCTGTTGGAAGGATTCATTGGGGATAGTTTCTAGGTTTGTTTAGCATCACCGAACTGTCCTTGCTTTTCCAAGAGGGGTTAGCTCGAGGTACCATCACATGGCACTGGGTACATTCCTGAGCTAAGAATAGGGATCCTTTCCCCCCAATGTTGCTACATGTGACTTTCCAATTGCCTGCTCTAGCAACCAAGGGGACGCAACTCTGCCCTGCCAAGGAGTGCGCCTGTGCCAAGTGTTTGCAAATGAAAATATAAGAGGAGATTAATGATGGGACATTGGCCAGAGGCCTGGCTAAGTGGAGGAAGAGGGCCCAGAGGTTAGTAATGCTAAAGGGCATAAACAATCCGAAGCTTCTAGAAGGCATTTCTCGCTGTTTGTTTGTCCCATGTTAACCCGTCTTTCCTCTAATCACTGTCTGTTAGGGAGGAGGTTGACTAACTTAGCTGATCAGGGGAATGACGTAGACCTCATCTACCTAGACCTCAGCAAAGTCATGAAATTCTCTTTGATAAAAACATAAAATACGAACTAGATCAGTATCTTTCAGACTTGACAACTTTAAGATGTGTGGACTTCCACAGAGTTACAGAACAACAGAGTTGGAAGGGACCTTGGGGGTCATCTAGTCCAGGGCTTTTCAACCTTTTCACAGATTGTACCACTTTTAGGACATGACCAAATTCGAGTACCAGCGGTGCTTAGCAAGGTGTCAAAAACTTGATGACTAAAAAAATAAAGGGGGAGGGATTTTGGACTTACTGGTTAGATTCATTTGTTCTTATAGAAATGGCTAGTTTATAATATTATGGAAAAGTAAAAAGTTGAGGTTCTGTGTTCATGCTTCCTTCTTAGCGCAACAGAAGTCAATGCCTTTGTTTTTCTTTTTCCCTTCTGCCCCTCAATTTTTCCTTTTTCTCTCACCCTTCAAGCTCACAACCCCTCTCCTCTCACCCTTTGCTAGCAGAAGCTTCTCTCTCACTCCCATTCACTCACACGTTGCTTGCAAAAGCCTCCCTATGTCCAGTTCTGGGTACCTGTCAGACTCTCAAAATTCTGTTATTATATCCTGTAACAATAGAGTTCTGGTAATTTTTGTGTTGCCCGTTTCTGACTGATAGCAGTACCATTCAAAAAAAGGCACTCTATGTTGGAGTGAGTTCAAAGGAAGACCCAAAGGAGATTTTTCACGAGGCAACTGGACTTTCTTGTTCTTTTTTTCTTTGAAGACATTTTGCTTCTCATTCAAGAAGCTTCTTCAGCTCTGACTGGATAGTGGGGGACCATCCAATAACTTCTTGACTGTACAGTCTAGAATAGGCTGTCACCTTAAATGCTGAAACGTCCTTCATTGGAGGTCTTCAGACATAGGCCAGAGATGCTCTAAAGCAGAGGTTCTCAACCTTTTTAATGCCGCGACCCCCAACCAGTCGTAAGTCGAGGACTACTCAACTGGTGCAGCACTGTTTGCAGAGTGGGACTTTTGGCAGGCTCAGCAGGGCAGAGACAGCCTGGACAATTCCTATTGGCTTTTGAAAGCCAATAGAATTAGACTCTATTCAAGAGAGTCTATTCTATTGGCTTTCAAAAGCCAATAGAATAAAAGGGAGTAGCACAGCTAAGGAAAAGGGGAAAAAAATGGCGGACTGCATTGTTTGGCGACCCCCATGAAATGGTCGTTCGACCCCAAATGGGGTCCCGACCCACAGGTTGAGAACCACTGTTCTAAAGAATTCTTCACAAAGCAGGAAGCTTTTTGGTCCCTCCACCTCCGTGATTCAAAGGTGTGAATTATTACTCCAGAGGAAACCTTTAGTAGTAAATTCCTGTACTAGTAGGGATTGAAATAAATGATTTTCAAGTTCTTTCCAATCCTTACATTCTAGTGTAGGATGGTTGTCAAAGAAACATCTACTATGTGGGATTATAATGAGGTTAGAAGCATCCTAAGTCAAGGTAAGCAGAGTTAGACTGTTTTATTAGGTTTTAAGCAGCAGGTAAGTCAAACTGTTAATCCAGGGGTATCGAACTCGCAATGTCACGTGATGTGTCGCAACTTTTTTTCCATTGCAGGCAATGGGGTGGATGCAATTTTGCTATGACGGGCCGGGAGTTTGACACCCCTTTGTTAATCAAACAAAAAGAAATGTAAACTCCACATTATATTAAACAGAGGTATGTATCTCTTTACTACCTGTGGCAAGTGAATACTTTCCCCAAGACAAACAAAAGGGATATTTTTGAGTGCTGGATTAGAAAATGCTATTTTTTTTTCAGACTTTAATGTGCTATAAATGATATACATGGGTAAGTAAGCTGGCCAAAAACATTGTGGGATAACATTTTGTGTCTCTGTGTGTGTGTGTTTTGCAAGGCTATATTAAGCAAATGAATGTAGGAAAAACATCACATGGAAAATGTAAGCTGTAGTTATTGTACTAGATTCATTAGCAAGATGATATTCACATGGATGCTATATAAACGATCAGCAACATTAGAGCATATCATGTATTTTCACATCAAATTTGCTCTGTGTGGACATCACGTTGGCCATTTTGATTCAGATTCAAGTCTGGCAACCCCAACTGACCTCTGAGCTACGTGGATAAACAGTCTGCTTGAGTCCCCTCAATAGCAATTCCTGCCGACCTCCCACAGAAGGTCTTTCTAATTATGGATCTGCCTCCAATGGAATGAAGAAGCTTGAGGGACACCAACTTGTTTTCAGCTACTAATGTTCTATTTTCTAATTTCTAGTAAGGATTATTGATCCATGGCTAATAGTCAATATGCAAAAAAAAAAAAAGTAAAATATAAACTGGAGGGGGGGATAATTCTGTCTTTTTCATTAACTCTCAGTTTCTGAATTTTCCATTCATAAATTCAGTTCAGTTCATCCCCTTCAAGTTTCTACAGGTAGTCCTTGACTAAGGACAGCTGATTTAGTGACCATTCAAAGTTACAACGGCAATGAAAAATGTGACTTTTGTCACTTTTTCAGTTACGACCTTTGCAGCGTCCCCATGATCATGTGATCAAAATTCAGATGCTTGGCAACTGGTTCATATTTATGACCGTTGCCATGTTCCCTTTTGTGACCTTCTGACAGCAAAGTCAATGGAGAAGCCGGATTCACTTAACAACCAGTTTACTAACTTAACAACTGCAGTGGTTCCCTTAACGACCATGGCAAGAAAGGTCGTGAAATGGGGCAAAACTCACTTAACAACTGTCTCACTTAACAACAGAAATTTTGGGTTCAATTGTGGTCATAAGTCGAGGACTTGTGAAAATCACGTTGTGATCTTCTAAAAAAGGTTTCCACTAATATTGTTTTGTGCATTTTTCCTCCATTCTACAGGTGTTTTATTTTACCCAATATGAATATTTCACTATTTTCTCAACTATAATACGTTTTAATAGGATATATATATATATATATATATATTTACAGGAAGACCACTTCTATAGGTTTGAAAAATCAGGATGTGCAATATGGACTTAGAGAAGAAATGATTTTTTGTTGGCCTATTGCCAGGGTAGGCAACCTTGGCTCTTTTATGACTCATGGACTTCAACTCCCAGAATTCCTGAGCCAGCCATGCTGAGGGGAAAGGGAGAGGTTTCCAACCTGAGCCATACTGGCTCAGGAATTCTGGGAGTTGAAGTCCACGAGGCATAAAAGAGCCAAGGTTGCCTACCCCTGTTGAATAGAAAGTGCAAAACTGACGCATTCATTTATTAGATTTTTATTACTTTATAGGTAACTCAAGGTGGCGAACATACATATTACTCCTTCCTTCTCCTATTTTCCTCACAACAACTCTCTGAGGTGGGTTGGGCTAAGAGAGAGTGACAGGCTCAGAGTAACCCAGATGGCTCCCATGCCTAAGGCAGGACTAAACTCACATTCTCCTAGTGATTGACCCAAAGTCACCCAGCCGGCTTTCACACCTAGAAAACATGACTAGAACTTTCATTAGTTGTATTGGAACTATTTCTCCCCTATTGTAAGAAGTTGGTAGCAACATAGCTCTTAGCTACTGGCCTCACAGAGCCATTTGAGGAAGAAATCGTTTGCTTAGTGCCCTCATTTTCTTTGGGAAAGAAAATATAAAAATGGGAATTAAAGAATTTTCAAAGCAGACCTTTCATAATAAGCAGGATCTCTAGGTATTTCAGGCAAAAACATCCAAGCAAAGGAAGAAAATCAGGGGTAGTGCTTCAAATCAATCATACTCATGGATTACTCTGTTTGTATATAAATTGTATACAGAATTCTAGCATGTGGTTCCAAAGAAGACGTCCTTGACTTCTACTGCCATCAGGACCACAGTAATATTTGCATTTCATTGGAAGTGGAAGTCCTGGCTTGTTACTCTGAAAAATTCTGCTCAAATCCTAGCATTAGGTTACAGATTCTTAGAAGAATGACCAAACAAGACTCCTGGTTTTGATGTAATTTTTATTACTGAGTGAAAGAGGTCTGCAGGAACAGTTAGGAATGTTGCCTGTGGATAAACATTCAGGTTTCTAAAAATTTTGAGTTATTGTATACATACCCACAGGGATTTTGGTCGTTTTTGTTTCCTGTTACAGCATGAATGTACTCCCATAAATACAATTATTATCAGCTAGAATTTTCATCAGATTTTGGGTGCAATCCATAGCCACAAAACATCTTGGGTGGCCAGAGAAGAAGGTTGATAGAAATAAAATTGTGCTGAAGCTCTTGAAATCAGCCAGGAAAAGAAATCTGTCTAAATGCCTAAAATAAATACACCTGGATACATTAATCTCCCAGATGTATCTTTACAAGTTAGGGTTTTCCCAGATGATTTAAAGCACCTCTACATAACTGAGCAGACATTTACAAACTTTTGAAGCCTCAAAGATTTTACTGATAACACATGGTTGTCATCTTCATTTTAGATTGTGGGGAGTAATTGGGAGATCTCAGGCAGCCAGGCTCAAAAATCAAACTAAGACACAAGTAGTAGAATCTTTGCTTCTCATTATGTCCTCCATACTTTGATGAGTACAGCCCCTGATGTGTGTTATTCAAAGGTTCAAAACATGCCTTGGCTCAATTAAGATTCCACAGCTTTGTTCTTTGCTGTTTCCTTGCTTGATTTTAAGCTATTCTTGTATTTTATCTTTCCTCCCTTTGGCCATGCTACTAATTACAATCTGGCAGCAACTACTGCAAGGGCTCTATGAACTGTTGGTCAACTATCTGAAGACCTGAATTTGCGAACTCCTAATTGGAAAGGCAGCAGAATCTAGCCTGAAGGAGAACTTACAAAATGTATATTGCTTAAACAAGACTCAATGAGTCAAGAGAATATGCAATTCCTGCATCACTGACATGGCTGCAAGAAGAAGATAGAATCCCTTTCCTTCCCCTTCCCCTTCCCCTTCCCTTTCCTTTCCTTTCCTTTGCTTTCCTCCTCCTCCTCCTCCTCCTCCTCCTCCTCCTCCTCCTCCTCCTCCTCCTCCTCCTCCTCCTCCTCCTCCTCCTCCTTCCAACTGTAATGTGCAGAAGGAATGACCTTAATGGATAGGAAGGAAGAAACCTGAGCATGAGGAGAAAATGTCTTAGACAACATCCTCCCTAGCTCTCACAAATATGGAGGGAGGGAAGGAAGAAGCACATACAGACTTGCAAATTTTGCTACCATAATTTTATAATAAAATTATTCTTGGCCTTCATTGTTTTGGTTTCCTCATCTGGTATACTCTGAAGGGCTGATAGGACTTTGGCCATCTATAACAGAATTTATCTGCCTTGATTTGATGCCATCCAGACCTTTGAACTATGGTGCTGGAGAAGACTCCTGCAAGTCCCTTGGATTGCAAGGCATTCAGACAGGTCAGTCGTAGAAGAGATCAATCCCAACTGCTCTTTAGAAGGCCAGATCCTGAAGTTGAAACTCAAATACTTTGGCCACCTAATGAGAAGGAAGGACTCACTGGAGAAGAGCCTAATGCTGGGAAAGATTGAGGGCAGTAGAAGAAGGGGACGACAGAGAACGAGGTGGCTGGATGGAGTCACTGAAGCAGTAGGCATGAGCTTAAATGGACTCCAGAAGATGGCAGAGGACAGGAAGACCTGGAGGAACGTTGTCCATGGGGTCGCAATGGGTCGGACATGACTTTGCAACTAACAACAACAAAAAACACAGCATCTTTCTTTGTGAGGTTCAAAAGCCCATGAACGTTGCAGAACCTGAACATGTAATCTTAAGTGTATTGTACAGCAATGAGCTGGCTTCAGTGATATAAAAGTCATTTTTATTCAGCTTTAAGTTTGAAAATGTTGAGTAGTTCTTATGAATTTATCAAATACTATTTAATAAGTCATTTGACCAATGACTCCCTTTCTAATACAAATAGTTAAATAAAGATGAAAATCTTGTCTATTTTTCTCTCCCTTCTATTCCTCGAGGTGTTGACTATTTTTAGAAAATGTCACATTTAACTTGAGGCTTATTATTTTTGAATAGTTTTCAATTCTGCTCAAATTGCAGTTCAATTATATTTGTGCTATCTCTAATTTGCTTGTACTGTCTCTATGCTAAGTTTGGTTTAGACTGGCGATTTCAGGACACCATCAGTTTCTATTCTAAATTTTGAGCACTTGAGACATTTATAGATCAATCTCAATTAGCAGAGAATGCTACATGTGGCATGGCCCAGATTAGAGAGTATAGACCTTCTCTCTGTTACTAGAAAGTATCACATGAAAGCTTTAACTGATCAAAGCCTAGCAGAAATCAGAACCTATTGGTCTGTCTATGGCAGGGGTCTTCAAACTTGGCCCTTTTATGACTTGTGGACTTCAACTCCCAGAATTCCTCAGTCAGCGTCCCTAGCTGAGGAACTCTGGGAGTTGAAGTCTACAAGTCATAAAAGGGCCAAGTTTGAAGACGCCTGGTCTATGGAGATTTTCAATCATTCAGCTCATGGTTGTCCCAAAGGTGCTTTCCAGTAGGCAACTGTACTTTCTTGGCTTTTTCCTTGAAAATATTTTGCTTCTCATCCAAGAAGATTCTTCAGTTGAAGCTGAAGAAGCTTCTTGGATAAGAAGCGAAATGTTTTCAAGACAAAAGGCAAGAAAGTCCAGTTGCCTATTGAAAAACACTTTTGGGACTATCTATTGATCTATTTAAGTGCAGAGCTCCCCAACCTTTCCGGGCTGATGGCCCGGAGGGAAAGGGAGGAGCAGGAAAATGTACACACATACACAATGGTGGAGCTAGTGCCCGCACGCACCCAGGGCGGTGCTGGCGCTCATGCACATGTGCAAACGGACTGCTACCACCCACGTGCATGCACAAATGGGTCACCACCGCCCACGCAGATGTACAAATGGGCCACTAGTGCCCATGTGACACTGGCGGTGCTGCTAGCGTCTCTGCACATGTGCAAACAGGGCCACTAGCACCCGACTGACAGCACTAGTGTGAATGGGGAGGGTGCATGCACACGTGCGTACACTTGACAGCCATTCCTGTAGCCCAGTGGCCAACAGGCCACAGACCGGTACTGGGCCGTGGCCCACAGGTTAGGGATGGTGCAAAATACCAGCATGGAGTAGAGTTTGGGCACTGGAGTAGGAACAATGACTTATTTAATGTGTGTGGTTTTGTCTTATCTTTCCTCTGTGTGTTTGCCACAGGCAGTGGGTTGGACTAGAAGACCTCCAATGTCCCTTCCAACCCTATTATTCTATGTTCTATGTCTGTGTATGTGTGCAATAAAGAAAAGTCAAATCAGTCAGAATACAGAAATCCAACTGTTAGCTTCTTAAAAACTGCTCGAGGCTGGAGTACATACTTGGAGCAAATATCCACTTGTTTCAGCATTTATTTTCCATACTTGTTCCGTGCTTTGCTTGAAGGTCAGTCTAAATCAGGAAGAGCAAAATTGGACCTGGGAAATTTCCAACCTGGGATACCAGAGAATTCTCTTAGGGATAAATGTGAGAAAATAGCACAAGCTATTTTTCCACGCCTCTGGATGTCATTTTGGAAACTGAAAACCTGCACCAACATATACAGCAGTTGGAGTAAACCAAATCAGAGTTAGAATGGGGGATTCTCCCAAATGAGGGTATCATTATCTGACAAATTTTTCTCCTGCTGCCTAACAGACCAGCAAACGTGGCAGTACAAGAAGAAGAGTTTGCATTCTGATGGGACAACAGAACAGCCTTATCTTCCAATGCCTGCATCCTCCCATGGGGGAAGAAGTATGAGTAAACTATTTGGGCCTTAGGACTAGCCTACAATATTTTAATCCCATGGCTACAGCATTAGGCTCAAGCTAGCTCAGTGTTTCTCAAGCTTGACAATTTTAAGGCATGTGGACTTCAACTCCCACAATTCCCCAGCCAGCAATGCTGGCTGGGGAATTCTGAGCTAGCTCTATGAATCCTCCCATCCCCTGGGTGTGTTACATCTGCTCCAGATAATGCTCTTAATAGGTGGATTGTGAAACAATTAATTATGTCCCATCGAGTCATTTTTTTTTGACTCCTAGGAACCACAGAGGTAGATTGTCTCCATGCCAATTTGTCCCTAATTTGGTCTTCAAGTAATGCACTTATAGAAAATAATATTTGTAGCTCAGCCTTGGACTGTGGGGTACCTGGTGCTCTCTGAGCTTGGTGGTGTTCTTGCAGACATTTCATTACCCAAATTCATCAGTGCTAGTAATGCACTCATTGCCACTATAACTGAGTCCATCTGCTTTGCTGTGAAATGGAGATTCCTCCAAATTTGGGGGCCAGTTGCATATCTGGATCATCAAAACAGTCCATAATGAGTCACTGGTTCACTTAACAACTGTGATTTTGCTTAGCAATCAAAATGGTTGCTTAATGACCACTGCAAAAGAGTACATAAAATCAGGTTGGTCACATAGGTGACTCACTTTACAATTGTCATGACTTATGGCAATTGTATGTAATGACTTATGACTGTAATGAGTAGGCTCCATAACTTGAGGACTAACTATAAATGTTTAAATTGGGCTGAGATCTCGTTAAGGCCACAGAATTAAAGCAGTATGCTTTAATTAAAGCAATGTTTCTTTACAGACAGTCCTCAGCTTACAACACTTAGTGACCATTTAAGGTACAACAGCACTGAAAAAAGTGACCATTTTTCACACGTATGACCTCTGCAGCATTCCCGTGATCACGTGATTTTCATTTGGATGCTTGATAACTAACTCACATTTATGACAGTTGAAGTGTCTCGCCTTTTGCAACCTTCTGACAAGCAAAGTCACTGGGGAAGCCAGATTCACTTAACAACCACGTTACTAATTTAACAACTGCAGTGATTCACTTAACATCTGTGGCAAGAAAAGTCGTAAAATGGGCAAGACTCACTTAACAACACGCATTTTGGGCTCAATTGTGGACGTAAGTTGAAGACTGCCTGTATTTTGACTAATTTTTTTTTGCAAAACATTCCAAGACACATTTTCTTCAACTTCATCATCCTGGCATGTCACTGACTTGAATTTGCAGTGAGCACTGCCTTACTATTATACTAGCAGGCCTTAAAAGAAACGTTAGCTTAACATATATCTGCAAGCGAACAGATCACTTTTTCTTCGATTAACACAAAGGCTTAAAATTTAAAACTAGAGGGTAAAATCCCTCACATAGAACAGCATAGCACGGAGATCCAAAGGTACCAAGATGATGTAGTTCACTTTCAGGTCCATAAAAGGAAGCTAGGGGGAAGATGGTCACAAACAGCTTTCCATGACCAGAGAAACAAGAAATAATGGGTATAAATTGCAACTGTCTAGATTTCATTCCAATTAAGGAAAAACCTGATGATACAATTTGTGCAATTCTCTTTGGAGGCTTTTAAGAAGAGGATGAACGGTCACGTCTAATAGATGGTTTAATGCAGTGTTTTCAATCTTGGGAACTTTAAGAGGTGTGTACTTCAACTCCCAGAATTCCCAAGCCAGCCATTTTGGGATTTGAAGTCCATACCTCTTAAAAGTTCCCAAGTCTGAGAAACACTGGTTTACTGTGTTATCCTGTACTTTGCAGAGGATTGGATTAGTTGATCTTTGAGGTTCAATTTTATACTTTATATGTTCAAGGTAGGGCATGATCCTATTTCTTCACCCATCATTACCTGTGAAGAGAGCATCTAACGAGGTTTATATCCTTGTGCATAAGGGACTTTTACACTGACAATGCCGGATGCTGCAGTGCGAAATCTACTAGGTGCTAAAGAATTAAGAAGCAATCTTTTCTTGTACCCTGCTTTCCCCATTTTTAAGATGAAACAGCTTTTCCTTTCCAGAAATTTTACAGAAATGGGGGAAAAAAAATAAGGATTTACTGTAAATGTAAAAAAAAAACCGGTCAGATGCTATAAATAAGGATTAATTGGCAACAGGCAAATTCTGGCTGAAGATACATA